TCACTGTTGATCAAAAAACTACATTGTTAAGTAAAATAGACTTCGTAATTCAGCTACATAATAGTTGCCTTTCAGATTCAGCTCTGTATTTTATGTTGTAGATGCAGTTGAAGAACTGATGGCAGCAGTCCTCTCAAGCACCTTACAAAAATGGATTTGCAAAGGGAGCAGAAGCAGGATTATTTTTAATGCTGCAGTTAAAGCAAAGGTATTCAGAGGTGACAAGTGATTTCTGCAATCCTGATACTTCAAAAGGAGCTCACTTTCAGAAAGCACCCTTTTAAAGTGAAGTCCCTTGTCCCTTTTGAAAATACTGATCAAAAAGGACCTGGATTGGTGTGCTGCTAGGGCTATACCTGGTTTTAGCCGTTCAGCATATCCAGTATCATGAAAATCAGGAAGATTTAAGAAAGGGCTAATAGATCCTCGTTTCAGTACTAGTCATCTTCTGACAGAAAATGCTAAACCATTCTCTGGTCTTTCTGGTTTTTAAACTGAAGTAGATAAGCGAGGAGTTACATATGCTTTGTAGCCTGTTTGCTTCTAATCTACGAGGTTAGTTTTCAAGTTTTATAGTTGTAAGAGTGAAAGGGCCTTAAATTTTTCAATTAGTATAGTTTCCACAATTCTAATGTTTTATATGGAAGGGCAGGTTGAGCTGCAGCACTCAGTAGTATTTTTGGATCATTTTCTAGGACATTCCCAGCTCTCCTACATCCAAAGATAATAGGCAGTAAGTGTCCAGCAGTAGCTAGACACTGGAAATGAGAATTGTCCAAACTCTGGATTTGTTAGCGATTAGCAAACCCTGTATTCCACTCTCAGGAGAAACTATGAAGACAGTCCAAGCTAAAACTCGGTCCTGTTGACTGTTTTTCTTCCTGGTTAGGTACTAGCAAGCATATGACTTTATGTCATGACATACTGTAGTTTACATCTGTAGGTCACAGTCCTGCAGTTCTGCAATGCTTGAACATGGACCCTCAGATAAGCTCAGCCTCCCACTATTTGCAGGATTAGTGCCAAATTATTTAAGCCATGCTGATAAAAATTCACATTCATTTAAGAACAGTATTGCTACTACTCACATTGAAATCAGTAGTTTACATAGTAACTCATCTTAAACCTGGGGTAAGATGCAACATGAACATAAATCCTGCTTCCAATGCAGTCAGTGAATGATTGTGTTTTTACAATAGATGGAGAAATGAGGAATGATTGATCCATTTCCTTAGTTTTGAGGTTTGTTTAGTAAACAAATAGAGTTAGACCAAGCACTATACTTTTCCTTATGATGTGCCCCCATGTATCTCTTAAGCTAGTCTTGAAGGTTGAGAATCTGTCTGCGGGTTATTCTGTTTTAGTCAGAAAACATGAAATACAGCATCAGTGATTTGTTCACTGCATTTTCAAATGAAGGCATTAATTCAGATTAGTTTTCATTTTGCTGTAGAGAACTAAGACTACGGCTTTAACTCAGCTTTGTCTTCTAACTCTTGGCTCTCCTGTGGTGTAACAAGTGTAATACAAGTTTGCATGCCCTATCAAACTGAACAAAAGGGAACAAAGAAACAGACTGAAGACCTGGTTTATTTTTTCAGGTTAGTAGCAGATATGAATGACAGTGCTTGGGCTGTCAGTAGTAAAAAGTTATTTCAGCTACCAAACCCTTTCTTTGTCTGTTAGTAACAGCATAATACTTACTACGCTGATAGCTTCTTGTCCAGAAATAAATTAAAACAGTAAATGTAACTTAGAGCTTTTCACTCCCTTTCTGAAGACTTTCATTAAATCTGTAATTCACACACGTAGCTATGTAATTCAAGAGTTAAGAAGATGGTCCTGTTGGTTTAATTCCGTTAATCCTACTGAAACCTAAAGGATACCTGGGTGAAGAGCGTGAGTAGCAATAAACCTGAGATTTATGGGTAAAAACCTCAGTTTCAAATCCTAGGTTACAAAGGTGCACTGATGTACATCAAGTGAATAATTCAGTAGTGCATGATCAGAGCTCACAGCATAAACATTTGCCAAGAAACCTGTTTACCGGCAGTTGAACATTAACAAGACTATAGTGCAGTAATTGCTTTTAAGCAGATCTCCTTGGCTGACCATGTATTTGCTTTAGTATTTATCATTTATTTTGGGCGGTACCCAAAGTGTGCAAAATATTACAGAAAAGCAGAAGGGGACGTTGATCCCTGCCTTGTAACACTTGGGAGTGGAATGCAGACGCAAATACTGAAATGAAATCGTCAGCAGAATGTGGTTCCCAGGATCGTGGGCATTGTTACCCTTTGTATTGATTTTGATTTAAGCTAATTTTATCCCCAGTTAGTCATCCAGTCCATCATCATGTAAATATAATACCAAATAAATGTCATCCGCATTTGCTTCACAAAACAAAATTTTTAAAAAATGAAAGTACTTAGGAACAGAGGAAAAGTCCTACTGATTTTATCACTCTTACTGTACTGGAAAGCAGGTACTGGAAAGCAGGTCACTTTTGGGGGGGAAAAGATACAAAACTAAATGAAACCCAGCTAATACTGCATAGAGTTCCAAGACCTTCATGAAAAGTGGAGCTCTTTCTTACTCAGTTTTTTCTTTGCCTTTAAAGAAGATCATATATATTTGAAGAATAAAGCTGATCATCATGTGTAATACTGCAGTAGTACAGTTACATTATGTATACACTCACACAGTAGCCCTCTTAAATAACATTAAAGCCTTTCCTTGATTTGCCCCAGTATATACTGTCCCACTAAGATTAAGATCTCCATTATTTAATCTCATAGTCTTAGCCAGCTGACCATTTGAATGTCTTTTGCCATCTCATGCCAATCCTTAGAGAACTGGGAGGTGGTGACATTACTAGTTTCTCTTCATGGGATTGTTTTCTTCAATGTTATAATGAGAATCGCTTTAAAAAATCAAGATGAATTTATATGTTATTTCATTAATAGAGATAGTTTATCTTTACCTATCCTACTTCCAAAACTTTTATATATTAACAGACCACTGAAGTTTACCCTATTGCATTCTTCATGTAAACAGTGTGCTAGAGGAAAATAAAGTGAGAACAATACATGCTTTGTGAAACTGAAAAATAAAGTTACTCTCCTTTTGGTATCTTCCAGCTTTGGAGAGTGCTCAGTTTGACCCGTCAGCCATTCTCTGTGGACACTTCACAGAAACAAAGCAGGTTACGGGCAGAGTGTGCAACCAGTAAACAGGGAAAATCCAAGGAAATTGGAGCGAGTATGTACTCTTTTGTGAAGAGGTATTCTCACATGACTCACTTTGCCCCGTGATGACCATCTAGCTTGTATTCTCACCCTTGTGGTACAGCAAGTGAGGCAATTGGAGAGTAACAGATCCTAGGATACCTGTAGTTCTTGGTGGAACTGAAAGGAAATGAATCCTGAAGTTTACGCTAATCACCCTGACACTTAATTTTCCTTTCTCAAATGATACTAGGTTGTTTCATCAACTAAAATGCATTCTACATTCACAAATTTGGCGATAAGAGATGCCACATTGTTAACCCATGTAGATTAATAGTTACATTTCATTACAGTTGTATGAAGTACGGTGACTTCAGAGTCACAGAGCAGAGTCCTTTATAATTGTGCTGTTCTCAGATTTGACAATTCTTTTCCATGCCATAAGAAGAGATTCATAGATTTGGGAAATACTGTCTCAGTTTTATTTTTTTAATATCTTTTGGTGCCGATCATCCCACTGAGACTTCAGTTAGAGAACTAGCCTTCTGGGTATTAGGTTTCTTTTAACTCTGTTGAGTTG